ACACACACACACACACATATTATGTAAACAAAAACTTTTATTTTGATTAATCGCGATTAATCGTTTGACAGCACTAATAAATACACACATTTGTGTGTGTATAAATATATAATTAACCAACAATTTTATATATATTTAATATATAATTATAAAATAATATACAAGTTATTTAAATAACATATTTACACTATATATTTTTAATGAACATATATTTTCTGTATGTATGTATATATATATGTGTGTGTGTGTGTAAAATATAATGTAAATAAGGTATATATTATATAATTAAATATATTATACAAAGGTGTATATTATATATATTATATAATTATTAATTTTATATATTTTATATATACATTTTATCTATCTATATCTATATATAAATTTAAATTTTACATTTATAATTATGTTTTACATTATATAGCCTATAATATATATATATATATATACTAGTGCTGTCAAACGATTAATCGCATATATATATAATATAAAATATAAATGTATATGCATGCAAGTATTTTCTAAATATATACTGTATGTGTGTGTATTTATATACACATAATAAATATACACAGTGCACACACACACACACACATATTATGTAAACAAAAACTTTTATTTTGATTAATCGCGATTAATCGTTTGACAGCACTAATAAATACACACATTTGTGTGTGTATAAATATATAATTAACCAACAATTTTATATATATTTAATATATAATTATAAAATAATATACAGTATATGATGACCTCAAAATGGCGAATCTGACGAATCACTACTGTTAATGCAGTCTGTGTGGTTGTTTTGTGTTTGTCTGAGCTGTGTCCTCTGCTCTTGTGTTCAAGGTGAGGAGCTTGGCTGATGGATGAGGATGAGGATGATGTGCGCAGGAAGGGTCTACAGCGCTGGCCTTCCTCCCGCGTTCAGATAAAGCAGACCGAGACAGCAGGGACACCCCCTGTATCCCCCAGCGGCATGCTGCCCTGCCGAGTGCATGTCGAGCCCACACGCTTTCTCTACGGTAAGCCACAGAGTCTCTCTCTCTCGCTGTCGTGTATTCCTGACCTCAGCGGCTTCATCACCTGTGTGTGTAACCAATGCAAACCACGCCAGCGTTCACATGCACTCACACAATGCATCTCTTATTGTAGAGTCAGTAGCAGAATCAGTGCTGGTGGAAAAAGTCACTAAAGCATGTGGGACACGGGTTCGAGTCACATGAGCTGGATTATTGAACCTTGAATACAATAGTGACTTTGGACTGAAAGCGTCTGTCAAAAACAAGGATGGTACAATATCAAACTTTTTTTGTTTTATAGTTATTTATTGTGAAAATATAAGAGTATATTTTATACTTTTAACACTTTAAATTTAGGGCTGGGCGATATGGCTAAAAAATTATCAGTATTTTTTTTTACATCAGTTGAAATCGACAAGTTTAAAGGCAGATTCCTTCTCTTGAGTGAAAGTTAAGAGTTATCTGTGATTGTAAGCTACTACTACTTTTTTTTTTTTTGTCAGAACATGACAAACACAAAATCAAAATATGCATGAGTAAAATCCTTTTACAGTCTTTTTTCCTTAACAAAATATCTTAAAAGAGAAATTAATTTCTTAGTTTCTGCATGTTCTAATATGTAATATTGTTTCAAATCATCAAACAGGCTTGTTTGTAAATTTATGAGTAACTGTAACATCTGTAAAATTGTAACAACCTCATATTTATAGTTTAAAATGTAAATATTCTGACTGTTTGAATTACGACTCGTCTTTTATTAAAATTAACCATTAGTCATCCATAGAATCACATGATTAGATCATGAAAGGTAAAATCACACATAGCACGGTAAAATGTAACTATATGGTTTCTATGGTATTTGTATGATGCGATTGTACTATATAAACATTTTTATAGTTATTTATTATTAAAAAAAAACAATATATTTTATACTTTTAATGTATCTATACTTCAAATATACTTCTGTGAAAATCAATGACTCGTGGCTTTCAGACCGCTGAGGCCTTTTCTCTCTCTGCTGTTTATTTTTACACGTCTCTGGTTTTTCGATAACTTGTGAACATCTTTGAGGAATGCAGATGAAAGATACTTTAACACACAGCCAGACTTGAGCTCGGTCCTCTTTTCTTTGAGATGTTGTCGTGGTATGAGCTTATGTTCTGGACAGCCTAATGTTTTCATCAGGGAGGCATACACTCAGTTGTTGGCACTTACGAGCAAAAGTTGATTACCAGCATTGACTGAAGCCGCTGTGTGATGTTGAGACATTCAGATATCGTTTGTTTAATGTTCAGAGTCACTATGAGGCAGTCATTGGTAGTTTGGCTTCCTGGAGAGTGAAACATATTTATACACTAAAATTTAATACTCAATTAATTAATCCAATTTATTTAATAGACAACAAAAATGGATTGTACACTGTAAAAAAAAATCAGTGCAATTTACGGTAAAAAACAGCAGCTGTGGTTGCCAGAACTTTACTGTAAAGTGTGCTGCTTTATATATATATATATATATATATAATTTTTTTTTTTTTACAGATTGAACATAAATATACTGTAAAAAACATATTTCATTAATTAAAATGTTTATATACCTTTTTTTTACTGTTTGTTTTTTTACAAATTACTAAAATATTTTTCTTGTATAAAATGTTGTAACAAATTACTAAAATGTGTTTTTACATTCTTTTTACAAATTATTAAATCTGCTTTTTTTTTTTTACAGTTTACTAAAATCTGTTTTTTATAGTTTCTTTTTTGGTTCAAATGACTAAAATTTATTTTTTACATTCTTTTTACAAATTATTAAATCAATTTTTGCAGCTTTTTATTTTTACAAATTAATAATCTTTTTTTTACAGTTTTTTTTTTATATTTTTTTTTATACAAATTACTAAAATAATTTTTTATAGTATTTTTTAACGAATTACTAAAATGTGTTTTTACATTCTTTTTACAAATTATGAAATCAATTTTTTACAGGCTTTTTTTAAACAAATGACTAAAATGTTTTCTTTTTACAGTCTCTTTCTGTTTTTTACAGTTTTTTACTAATATATAAAAGCTGCATGGTGTCACACACAAATACAAAACACCATCTCACATGATGCTAAAATAATGTGATAAACATTCATCAACATAACATCTTAATGTACAAAATTTAATTTTTTTCAATAAAAATTTTAGCTGTCACCCAGAGAATTCTGGTAATGTCAATTAATGTTTTTTTATACATTTTTTTAATTATAAGATGACTTGTTCTTTTTTCACTCTCAAAAATTGTACATTTAACACTACTTTACTGTAAAATAACATCAAACTATTACAGTTTTTCACTGTATATAGTAAGTTAATTTACTGTTAACCATTTAACAGTTTCTTTTTTACTGTATAATTTTTACAGTCTTTAACCATTAAAATTCATTACCATAATACAAAAATTGTAATTGCACGTACATCTTGAAATTTAAGAAAGAAATATCAGCCCTCCAAACCCATTTCAGCCAAAACCGAAAATTATATATTTTTTGCTGTTTCATGTGTTTAAAATATTTCTGGTGTATCACTTCACAACATTAATCTTGTTTGAGCGACTCAACATGTAGGAATGCTTGCAGTTCCGTTTGGCGCCACTAGAGGTTCAGAAATGATACATTTGATGTTTAAGTTCAGTCTTTGTGCCTGGTATCATCTATAGTGATCTATACTCTTTTTCTCTGAACAGGGAACGCAGGATTGTTACTTCTAGCGTCTCCCAGCCGCTCTCAGCCTCCAGACGTGGTTCTCCGGCAGGACCTGCGGATGATGGACCCAGCGGTGGCGCGGCCCGAGCGGAGCGTGGAGACCCTCATCGGGCAGAAGCTCCAGCTGATCGGAGATCAGTTCTATCAGGAGCACATGATGGTGAGTCGGGTCGGGTCAGGAGATCCTGTGAACGTGTTTTCTGTGCGCTGGATCATAATCGCATTATGTCTTGCTTTAGCGCTCGTTTACACAAAAGCGTTTTCCATGTGCCGTGTTTGTTTTGGACGGACTGTTTCCTGACTCTAGTCTAGCTGTTTGACCCCAAAGACACTGGAGCGACCCCTCGCTCTCACTTCCTGTTTACTTGTGTGTGTGTGTGTGTGTGTGAGCTGTGAAAATCTCCATTAACACGTCTGTCAGATGCAGCGGATCTCGTTCTGTGCTGTACTGGAGAGACTGGCTTTGTTTGTTTGCTTGTGCGTCAAACTTCATATGGAACAGTTGCATTGTGGGAAATGAGGTATGGGTACTATTTGGTCTGGTCGGTTTGTAGTTTGAAATCCTAAAACATTAGATGCAGTGTTGAGGATGAAGACAGTTAGTATTGTGTTTGTTTGTGGTTAGTGGATGATGTTGATGATAGTTCATGTGATTCTCAAACGCATTGAGACTTCAAACATAAAGCAAAGTGACATTAGTGAAGAAAAACGATCCTTCAGCATTTCAGACAAAAAGTTATTTCTTGTTTTCATTTAGTTTAACTTGATGTACTCAAATACCTAAAACTGATAACAATAATATAATAATAATAAATACTATATAGACATATTAAAAAAAAAAGAGAGAGAGAAAAAAATTATACAACTTAATTAATAAAAAAAACAGAAATTACAAAAATAAAAACGAATTCAAAATATTAATAAAAATTATAATAGTATCACAATATTATAGTTAACTAAAACTAAAACCATAAAAATATAGACAAAAGCATAAGCTAATTTTATTTCAGCTGGTTACCACTGTACAATTTATAAATTTCATTTATTTGAACAAATAATAAAAAATTACTGAAACTTAAAAAAACAGAACATTTAAAAGTAAAAACCAATACAAAAAATTAATAAAAATTATAATAGTATCACTATATTATAGTTAACTAAAACTAAAACCATAAAAACATTTTTGTTACTTGAAATAAAATAAACGTTAACTGACATAAAATATAAAAACACAAATTTTACTAACTAAAACTGAAATAAAACTTAATTAAAAAAAATACGTAGACATAGTTAAACAAAACTAAAAACTAATAAAAATGACAAAATACAACAAAATTACTAAACATAAAAAACTAATTCAAAATAATAATAAAAAATAATAGTCTCACAATATTATAGTTAACTAAAACTAAAACCATAAAAAAAATGTTGTTACTTGGAATAAAATAAATATTAACTGAAATAAAATATATAAAATGTAAACTTGTTTTATTGTGTTTATTATTATCTGATGTATTAAAATAGCTAAAACTGAAATAAAAATGTATAAAAACTATACAGACTTGTTTAAAAAACTAATAAAAATAAACAAAAAAACGGCAAAATTTCTAAAACTTCAACTAAAATTAAAAATTTAACTATAAAATATACAAATAAAAACTAATTCAAAATATTAACTATGACAGTATCTCAATGATACTAAAATAACACTGTGGCAAAGATATAGTATATATATTTTTTATTTTTATTTTTATTTTTATTTTCAGAGCAGTAAAACACTGCAGGCTGTTGGCGTCTGCTCTCCTTTCTTGGCTTCTCTTACTCATTATCTCTTCTTTTATTCTGTCTTTCTCTTCCACTATCTGAATGATACTAAAGTAACATCGATTGTGTAACTTCATCTTCAGTATCAGAGCAGGTAAAACACCATTATCTCTTCTTTCTCTTTATCGTGCTGTCTCTCTTCGACCTTGATTTATTTCTCGTCTTGGTTGCGTAACTTCAGCTGGAGTTCAGCCTCAGCTGGCGCTGCTGTAGACGCTCCTGGTTATTTTAGGATTTCATGTTGCTAATTATGTTATTTTCAAGCTGTAAAGCCTCTTTATGTGTTGAAAAAGGTACAAAACGGCTCCGTTCCAAACCCTAGTGAGCCGCCTCGCGGTCTAAAGCAATGAAACCTCGCAAGTCAATGATTTTAAACCTTCAAAACAGATGCAGTCAATTCACAGCGAGTAGAGTCTGCAAAGAAAAGCACACATACTGGGTTAAATACTCAATTTTATAATTTAGATGGAACTATTCTATCAACTAATAAAAGTGTATATAAATTAAAAATTTAAATAAATTGTCCAAAAAATAGTAATTGTATAAACTTGAAAACAGAATTATATATAATAACTTCAAAAATAAAAATGTTATGTAATATTAAAATATAAAATATATAATTTTTAAGCAAATGGCTGCAATATAACAAAGAGTGAAAAATTGAAGGGGGTCTGAATACTTTCCGTACCCACTGTACATTTTTTTTAAATTAACAGGCTGTGAAAAGGTAGTTTCATATTATACTGTATATATATAATATGAACTGAAAAGGCTGTTTCACTGAAGTTTAGCTCGTTCCCTCAGCACTCAGAGCTCAAACTACAGCCGTGTTTCAGGCCCCGCGGCGCTGGCGTTCAGCTGCAGCCTCTCTTTCATCGCTGTCGCAGTTTAGACGATTGATGCAGGTGCTGCAGCCGGCGGCCGATGAATCCCTGCGCGTGGATGAAGTGCCTTCAGAGGCTGTGACAGGAGCTGCTCTGCTGACAGATAAATTACTGCACGCTCTCGAGCTCGCTGAGGCCCTCGGGGGCCCGAGAGTCAGACGAGAGGTGACTGTGTTAGGAGATTCATCAGCGCTGCTTCTGCTCATTTGAGTCGTGTTGTGGTTTGAAGTCTACGTGAGTGCAGAAATCAATCAAGTGCACGTCTTTTTGAGATTGTTTTTTTTAAAGCTGGGGTTTTGTCTGTCCAAGATCAGGATGAGTTTGTTTCTTCATCAGATTTGAATTAAAGATTTAATTAATTTGAATTAATTAGATTGAAGCTGAAACAAATCCAGCATCAAGATGTAGAGCATCCATTGTTGAGACACTGATGCAATGCTACATTTCTCCAAATCTGATGAAGAAACAAACTCATCCTGATCTCTGATGGCCTGAAGGTGAACACATTTTCAGCCAATTTTTTTTTCGATCAAATATTCCTTTAATGATCATGTTTTCTTGAGCTATAACTCAACATTTCTTATTCTTTGACTGTAAATGGTCAAATATATTGAAGATGCAGATTTCACACACTATTGCGTATACTTAGTAAATGAGACCGTTGTGCTTTCCGAGTAGACTGGTTCTCATGCTCTAGTGTGTGTGTGTGTGTGTGTGTGTGTGTGTGTGTGTGGTGTGTACCTGGTATTTATCACGTTATGGGGACCAAATGTGTGTGCGTGCTTGTGTGTGTGTGTGTGTGTGTGTGTGTGTGTGAGAGAGAGAGAGTGTGTGTGTGTGTGTGTTAAACCTCGCTTCCTCCTTATTGTCACGAAGATAAAAACACACGTCAGTGTCACAGCGTCTCACGAAGGTGTGTATTTATGCAGCGCTGCACAGATATACGCGTGTTTACCAGAAATGCGGCGTGTACCCGCTCCAGAGTAAAGGGGATGTGTTTTGATAAGACACGTTTCCTGTGAGACGCTCACTCGAGTTCACAGAAACAGCA